ATGAACTTCTAGAATGTCGATCATTTGTCGATCAACACTGTATTTAGAAATTCTATATTTGGTAAAATCCCTGACTGAATTAATTGTTTAGTGAAATCTGAAATATTTTGTGATATGAAGAATATATTTGAGATTTACCACTAGCTGGTAATAGAAAAGTCAGATATATTAATAATAACAAATCAGATAATACATGCTTTAAATATATTGCTAGAATTATATCCTATAAATATGATTATATAACCTTTAAAATCTACATCATAAGAAGAAAAATAACTTATTCAACTTTAGCATAAAGAAGTCAAATGTATTTTTCTCAGATATAAAGTACTGCTTAGTAAAAATATTAAAAGTCCTGTGAGAAAAATTTTAAATATAATCTTTATAGTTATAATGCTAAAGAGGTTATCTGTTATTCTAAATGAGTTTCTGCAGTAAATTTAATAAAAAATTCATTGTATTAGTCAATAAATTAAAAGACAGATGATCAAAAGAATAACAAAATATAATAATATTAACAAGATCAGAAATTGTTAAATTCATATCTTAGAATATTATTAAAAATGTATTAGATAGATACTTAAATGATATCAATAGAAACAGCCTTAAAAGATGTGAAATAATAGAAAAGCTTATACAAATGATTAGATAAACTTTTATGATACACTATACAAATTATAATACTAAGATTATTAAAAATCTTAAAAGAATTATAAAAACTTATAAAGTATCAAGTAGATTTAATAAAAATTTATTTTGAAACTTTTATTAGAATAAATTTTATTACTTTATGTAAAATTTATTAATTATGCATAATATTATATATTTTAAAAACTACATTTTTATCTGTTTATTTTATCTATTATTTTATTATTTTTATTATAAATTCTTTTATTATAATAAATTTTACATTTTTATAATAAGTGTAAAATTAACTCTTTTACAAATTTTTAAATCAAAAGAACAGAGTGAAATATACAATTAGATAATTGTATGATAAATCTACCTTCAGCTCTAGATAAGCATTTTATATTTTTATAGATTTCAAAATTAAAATCATATAAAACTTTATTTCAAAGATATTTATGTTCTAAAATGTATTTTATAATTAATAATATGATATTACAATTTCCTGATCTTCTAAATAAGTTCTATATAATAAATTTTAATAAAAAAACTTATTTAAAATATTAAATTCTTATTTTAAATATTAGGTAATTTTAAATATCAAAAATTTTTATAAAATTTATTTTGAAATTATTAAGCATATTCAGAAATGCTATTTTGAAATTATTAATGAAAGCAAATTTTTAATTTTTTTAAAGAAGTTTTTTTTATAAATATTTGTTAATTTATTATTTTTAAGCAATCATAAGTTAATAAAAAATCTTATTTACTAATTATAACAAAATAAAAAATACATAAGTTTTTTTAAAAAAATATAAAATTAAAAAAAAAATCATTCTATCACTTCTTTATAGCAGATATGACAATAAGAAAAAAATTAAATAATACAATGTTTTTTCTTTTAAAAAAATAATTTATTTTAAAATTGAAAAAATAAATAATTAAATTAATATTCCTTATCATCTCTATATAGCTAATTTAAAGTAATAAAATAGAAATTAGATAATCAAATCAAAAAAATATCATTAATACAAAACTTTATAGTCATATAATAGTTATTTCTAATGATTTACATAGATCAGATTCCATCAGAAATATATGCTGATTTATACATTTTTAAACCATTTAATTTAAATTAACACTAATTAATTATAAATAGGAATGCATCATAAACTGTATGTAAATTAATCAATTCTTTATCAATTGATATATAAAAAATAAACTAAATGTTTATTTATAAGTATTTATTTAAACTAGGTATTAAACTAATTATTATAAAAAAATAAACTGATTTATGAATTTTAATCATTTTTCATACCGAATATTATTTTATAGAAATCATAAATTACAAGTCTGATTTTTCTTTAAGACTAATTAATAGAAATAACTGCATATGGGAGGTTTGCTATTAAAATCACGTTACAGATCATATGATTTACTATGTTCATAAACTCGATTTTAATAGCAAACCTCCCATATGTTTGACAGGCCTTTTTTTTCCTATTACAAAATTATTAGAAATAAATTGGTAATAGATGTTTGTATAGGTATAATACTATTCCTAAGCATTGACGAAACGGATTTGTTAAAGTAAAATTACATCACTACCTAAAATGTTCTACTTCAAGAGACTCTCAGCGGCTTCTGTATACGCTTCTAGTCGCTCAGCGCCAATGAAATGACCTTTTAATAATGCTAACGATGTCAGTCATGACGAGATTTATTAGTAAACTCGAAAGGAAGAAGTTGGACTAGTGACATCATAAAAATTTTTCTTAATATTATAACAATTTCAATTTGACTAAAACAAAAAAAAGTAATAGTAAAGTCAGTTTACTTATCGGCGAAGTGTAAAAAAAAAAATGAAAATTACTTGATAGATTATTTGAAAGTGATCTCCTTTCCTTTATAATGGAGAGGGCATTCCAAACATATTCTTTCTATATGAAGGTCGATATCAACACAAATATCCCAATTCATACCAAAAACATCCGAAATTTTGGGTATTGGTGAAGGAGGAGGCATGATTGTGATGATATTGATTGTGACGTCTATAGATTTCAGAATGTAAATTATAAACGTTAAAGATTAGTATAACACATAATTATAAAGGTTAAAATTTCTGTGAATGTAAAAGAAAGAAGTTAAAGAATAATGTTTACAGGTTTATTTCTACGACGCTTTTTAGACAAAGAACTAAAATTATAACCAATTTGGTTAAGATTTCGATTATGTTTACGAGCCGGAGTAGATGCCACGTTCTTTCTCTTCTTACTAATTTTTCGTTGAAATCCTGAAACATCAGCAACTCTACTGGTAGAACTATTATCTTCGATGGATGTGTCCCTTCCTTCATAAAAATCTTCACCGGTATTGGCGTAAGTATTGTTGCAGTGTTGGCATTTGGCCACGGTCAAGAAATTTTTTTGGCCGCGGCCAAGATTTTTTTAGCCATTTGGCCGACAAAATTGGCTAAATGGCCAATGGCCAACACTGCATTGGTGGTGTTGGTGTTGAGGTTTGCGTTGGCGTTGTCGTTAGTAATGTTGGAGGAACCTTTACTAAAATTAATACCAGAATCATCTTCTGAGATCGAATTAAGCTCAGGTTGAATATGCCATTTTTGAGTTCTTCTTTATTTTATTGTTGATTTCAGAAAGAGAGAGAAGGATGTGTTCTTTTTCAGACTCATATTCTGAAAGGTTCCGCCTCTATAAAAGATATCAGTATTATTAAATGTAAATTTACATAATCAGGAATTTACACGCATCCTTTCTTACTTACAATTTCGCATTCCTGAATTATTCCTTTTCAATATTCCTCCAAATCTTTTTTAAATCAGGAACGCTATGCCTTGACCTGTTATAGATGAAGGTTAATGATATGCGATGTTTTATCCAAGTCAGCGGAAATGAATTTACTGAGTTGGGTTGGTTGTTTACTTTACCAGAATCAAGCCAAAAGAAACTAAAATGATTATTTAACAATAAAGGAAGATAAAAAGACTCTGAAATCAGCAGACCTTTATTAATGACAAAGGTTAGGACGTTTGAATAGAGTACTTGTAGTGGCTACCAAGTAGTCATATCCAGTAATTTTTTAAAATATCAAAATTGCTTTGATCCAATTCCCTTGCTTCTATTAAAAAATGTGTGACCCAAGCATTGTCAAGTTCTCACAAGTTTACCGAGAATGACATAGTTGAAGTAGCAATAACTTCTCAGTTACGCTTTAAAAACTATATTATAAAAATGTATTAGAAGGATATAATATATGTAGAATTTACGAAATGGTTAATTTTCTAGTCTTTATATAAGACGCGTTACGCATTTAATTGTATCACGATATTACAAGACAGGTAATAATATGGGTTTCGTCAATAGAAACACATCTTATAACATAATAAATTATTAAGAAGGGAAGGTGTGTTTCTATTGACGATTTATTCGGCAAAGCAGTTAAATATCATAATGATTGGCTGATACACGTGACAAATGAATGATCAACCAATAAATTTATCCTAGACCCCCTGTTCAGGATAGACCTCCAGGGTTCAGGCAAGTTAAACTAGACCCCTCTCCTTTTTTAGTAAATTCATAAATCTGCAAACTGATTACCTTTTAAAGTATTTATTTTCCATAGTATAGCTGATTATCACCGAAATTTTTTTTAAGTCACGCAAATTTTTTTTAACTAAAAGAATATATTTGGTTCTACTATTTTTTTTAACAAATTTTTTCGAAAAAATATTTGTTTAAAGTATGAAATTTATTTGCAAGCTGAATATTAAAGTTACGCATTTACAGTGATGTTAAAAACAATTTATTAATTTAAAAGGTCGGATATTTTAATGATTGAAAAAATAAATATTGTCAAATCCAAAATCAAAAATTTTATACTTTTTAACAAACCTAATAATGAAAATAAAAAAGAGTTACAATGATAAAGAAAATAGAACATGCTAATAAAAATGGGAACAATAAAAAGAAGAGTAAGAAACAAAAAAAATGAAGAAGAAATAATGAGGGACAGAGGCAACAAAAGAAATGGAGGGTGAATTAAAAAAAAAAAAAAAAAACAAAAAAGTGAATGAAAAAGAACAAGAAGGAATGAAAAGGAACAAAAAGAATAATAGGAGATGATAAGATGAAAGGGAGATTCAGTAAAAATGGGATGAAACAATAATTAGAAGACAAAAAGGAAATGAAAGTAATAATGAAAAACACAAAGATAAGGAATAAAAAAATGAAGGGGATCAGGTAATAAGCAAAATCCATAAAAGAAGTAAAGTTAGTAAAATGTACATATAATTAGTAAGTGAAAATAAAAAATAAAAATAAAAGAAAATAAAAACACATCCTAATTGCAGAGAAGAATTAAAAAACTTAAAAAGAACGAAATAGAATTAATAAGGAGGAACAAAGTATAAAAACTGAAATAAAAAAATAATAAACATATCTTAATTGTAAAAAAAAACTAAAAGAATGAAATAAAGTTAGTAAAGAATGAAATATAAGGAACAAAGTGTAAGAGACAAAATAAAAAAAAATAAAAACTTTACAGAAACATATAAAATTAGATTATGTAGTATTTATTGAACACACCTTAATTGCAAAACTGGAAGAACTAAAGGACCTAAAAAGAACAAAATAAAGTTAGTGAGAAACAAAAGTATAAGAAACGAATATAAAAAAAGTAAGAAAAAAAATATACTTTGAAAATTGCGAGCTAAATGAAAGATCTAAAGAAAAATAATGTAATATATAACTGATCAAAAAATGGAATTTTATCAAAATTACTAAATTAGGTAGCAGGTCTAAATTAAAAAAACCTGAACTCCAGGAGTCTAGGATAAAAAACCTAAACCAGAAGGTTTAGGTTAAGTTTTCTCTAAAATTTATTGTAATACAAATCTTATACAGTTATGTAATTCATAATAGCCTTTGCGTTTTCTGGCGTTGAAAATTTTATTAATAAAAGTTACAATACAAAATCTTATTAAATTCTTTAAACTCATATTTTTTAATATTTTTTAGTATTAAACTGGAGATTAATAACTAAATTAAAATACAAATGCTATTGAAAATTTTGTAATAATTATAATCAAATTAAGAATTAATTAAATTACTAAATATTTTTTTTAAATTTACATTAATTCCAATTTGTTTTAATACAGTTTCAGCGTCATTTAATTATCATTATGATGATTTTATACCTTAAAATTCTTTCTGTTATCAATATTATCATTAATTTTTAACTTTAATTATAAGAATAACTTCTTTATTATAATGCATTAAACAATAAATTTCAGGCAGAATAAAATGTTACGAAAATTAGTAGTAATAGTAAGTGTATATATTTATTATATGCCTTATTTTTTATCTCAATTGCTAATTTCTGATTTATGTTGTAGATTCAAAATTATCTAATCTCTGAGAAGTTTTCTTACAGAAAGTATTATTTTATATTATCTGTGTGAATAGAGTGATATAGATATGTGAAAAATTTGTACAGGATAATTTATTTCAAAAATCTAGTGTAGAAAAAGAGTATTAGTATAAAAATCTTATAGTTAGTAATAATAAAAAAAATAGCTATAGAAATGTATTTGAAATCTAAGAGAGCGAAGAAATAACTTGATGTTGGGACTCACATTACACATTTTATCTGCTTTCCTAACATTTTTTAAATCTGAATCTAAAATTATTAATAAAGTTTAGCATCAGAAAAAAATTATATAATGTATATATGTATAATCAAAATATTTCACTATGACTTGATCTTTTAATGATATTAAGTAAGGTTAGATATCTAGATTAATAAGTGTATTTTATTAGCCGATAATACAATATTGAGTTCAGACTTATAAAATGTGTTCTCAACTAATAATCAATAAAGTTTAACAAAGTTTATTTAGACTTATAACACGTTCAAATAATTAATGAAGTTTAATAAAAGTTTATTCTGAATTATATATATATATAGTCAAAAATTGGCTTTTATTATATTACTTCTACCTAGAAAAAATTTTTTTTACTTTTAATAATAACAGATAATGGATAATGAGTGAAAGAATGTAAAGTTGAAATTAAAAAATCTTTTCACTAACATTAAGATGCATGATACAATCAAAAGTAAACTTTTAAAGATAGATATGAAAAATCAACTTAAATGTTTTGAAAGAAATGAAGAAGAAATTAAAGCTTTCCTTAATACACTTCTATTAGGTAAAGTTAAAATTTTTTTTTGATCTTTATTACATATTTGAGATGAATTATAACAATAATAAATAAACTAACTTTTTTTGATAATCTAATATTCTAACCCAATTTAGATGAATATCAAGGTAAGCTTTTACATCGTAATAATTAGTTAATTTGAACATGACATGCTAAACTTTTTTGTGAAATTTATTAACATTCTTTCTTCCAAAAAGGGTTTCAGAAAGAAGATTTAAGAGAGGTTATAAGTAATGTTATTTATAAAGAACTTTTTCAAAAAATCCTAAAGTAATCTCTACATCAAAACTGTCCAATATTAAAATTAAACAAATTATAAATAAGATTGGGATGAGAACTACCATTGTAAGTTTTTTATTAGATTATTATATTATTTATAACCTTTAATCATTTATTACTTATCTATTATTCAGATATATGTGAATGACTTCAATTCACTTAAACCTATATTATGCTTTCCATTCAGATGAAATTAAAATAAAGATGAACTATCACAAATAGATGGAGTTATTAAATGGTTTAAGGAAGCATTAAAATTGTCAGAAGGTTGTTAAGTGAAAGATATCCACTCATAAACAAAAAATTAAATACATTTGAAAGGAGAAAATACTATTATAAAAGATAGTGGTGATATTTTTATCGACTCAAGTGCAATACCAGTCATCTGAATTGAAACAAAAATAAAATTTACAGATTTCAAAGAAAGCTAAGTTATAGAAGAATTATTTCTTATTATAAACTCTATTTAATACATTTAATAACTATTCTTACTAATTGTAATGATAATTAGATTTTATTTCTCTTTCTGATAGTAGATAATAAACAAACAATGGTAATTTGTAAAATTAATAACTGTGGTATGGCCTTAGCAGTAATTAAACAGATTGTGCTTGAAGAAACTAATAGACTTAATAGTTGGTTAAAAGTTGGTTACCTATACAATAGTTTTTGTATCTCCTCTTCTTAAGAAAACAAAATTTTTCAAATGTAATAAATAAATGAAAATAGAATGTCAGAAATTATTGATGATTTATTTAAATAAGAATTATTCAATATGAATATTTGCAATAAACTAAGATTGTTGTGAGATTATGTTAAATTAGCTGAATAGCAATAAGTAGACCAATTTATTAGTTATTTTAATGATGATTATGAGAATTCATTTCCTCCAATATTTGTTTGATGATTTAATGTTAAAATTAATTGGTTATATGAAGGGTATATTTAGTCTTAGTTTCATTAGATCAAATTAATTTATACAGTAAAAAAAATTATGTAATATAGCTTATTTTCTTGTAATAATTCAATAATATTAATCTGTATTTTATGCTTTATATGTGATAGAAAAATAAAATATTTTTAATGCTATATAATATTAGAAGATAAAAAATAATAAAATGGTAAAAAAGAAAATCAAAAAAATAATTTATAGCTATATATAAGATAAAAGCAATTTTTTGAAAGAATAATATCATTTACAAATAAAATAATTCTTATTTATGATGTAAGCTACAATTTTAATATACAAATTAATTAGAATAAAAGTAACACATTTAGTATATTCTTTTTTTTTAATTAAATGATCAATATATAACATTATTATATCTTTTTGAAGATAATAAATATATCATAGAGACAAAAAGTTTATCTATTCAAATAATTTAACTAATAATTAAATTATTAAAAATTATATTATAACTAGTAATAAATAAGTATAATAAGATTACAACTAGTTATAATATTAATAAAAATTGAGTTACAACTAGTTATAATCAATAATAAATAAATATCATAGAATTGCAAATAGTGCAATATTATATTTATTAAATAAGTAATATCTTTTTTATTATTATTAATTAAAATAACTAAAGTTTAGCTTTATTGTAAAAGTTTAAAAAAGAGTAATTAATCAGAAAAAACTTTAAATTTATTTTTATAGTATTATTTATTTTTTTTAAATGTTAAATATTATTAATACTTTACTAACTATTATAGTAATAATTTAATAACTATTATTTTATTAATAATAAAAATATAGAAATTACATTATTTTGCTATTAATTCTTGAAACAGTTTAGTTATTTTTAAAATTTGAAGCTTATTTTAATTTAAAGTTAAAATAAGCAAATTAAATACATATTTATTAGATTTGATTTATTATAAATAAGGTTTAAAAATTATTTGATTACAGTATTATTAAGTTATATGATATTAATAATATATAATCTTATCTAAAAATGTTATTTAGATACTTTTAATAACTATTTATATATCAATTATTATAAAAAATTTTTTATAACTTATATGGGCTCTTTGCAATAGAAAGGAAGGAAACTCCAAAAAATTTTTTTTTTTGCTTTATAAGCTAAATATTATTTTTTTAATAAAATAAGTTCAGATTTAATATTAACTCAAAAAATTTTTTTTGGTAATTTTCTCCCTTTCTATTGCAAAGAGCCCATATTATATTATTTATTGATAAAACTTAAAAATAAGTTAGTATATATAATTACATTTTATTTAACTAATATATATTAATTGTTAATTAAAAATAATTAAAAATCATGATTATATAAAGGTTTTTATCTTAATATATATTAAAGTTTGATTAAAAAGATTATAATTATTTATTAACTAAATAGAACTAATGATTCAAAAAAATCATATCATGAAAAACAGATTTTTAAAATTTTTTTAAATTAAAAAGGTTTAAAAAATATATAATTATATAAAGGATGTAATAGATAAGCTAACATATATAATCTAAAATCAATTATTCTTTGATTAAAGAATTCTATTATATTAATAATGATTTATATCATTTTTATAGTATCAATAAATCTGATACTTATTTTTAATTTGTATCTTTTCAAAAATATTCTTTAATATTTTAGACAACATTTAACCGTCCATATTTTTGTCAGAAATTATTTTAATAGTAATTACTATCCTAATATACTAGTATTATATTTAGAATGTAATATTTAACTTATTTGGGAATCCAGAATCTTATTTTTGAAATTTCGGATCGGGTCCTAACGAAACTTTTAATGGTCCCCATGAAAATTATCAACAAGTGTTACTTACTTATTATAGATAAGCGATTAGATCTTAGAATTTTTTAAAACTTGTTCAAATCATTGGTCTTGGAAAAGTTAAATTTTTTGTAATTTCCTGCCTAAAGCTTTTAATTTAGAGACTATCATAAAAACGGTCCGAGTTTAAAAATGGGTTAGAACATCTTAGCTCACATGAAACCACAAGATCTACCTACCTGGATAGGCAGGTGTGAGTCACGAGCATAATAGTGTCACGAAATTTAAGCAAGTTTTTAATACTTTTTTTTTTTCTTTTACTTTCTTTGTTAACAGAGGTCTCCGTTGTTAAAAAAAATAAAAAAAAAAGACAGTCACAAGAATAGAGTTATTTATTATGTCACAAGAAACAGATCATGAGAGAATACCATTACTTCGAAGACCTTTTTATAATCTGAATTATATACCAAATAATAATAATAACCGTCGATCTTTTAACTTATTAAAAATTTTGGGATTTGGATTTATAGTTGTAACAATATTATTGCTGTCAATTAATTTGGCTTTTTTCTTTATTGAATCAAACGAAGCAATTTTACCAAAAGGAGATTCTAAAATTCCTTACGAATATTATTTAGGATTAAGAAAGAATGATGGTCGGATAGGATCCAATAAATTTGAATACGTTATTGAAACTTCACCACAAAGTGATGCAAAATTATCAAAATTATTTATTGATAAAGATGAGAATGATTTCAATTCATCCATAATAGCAGAAATCGTATCTAGAAGTTATAAATCATGGTCTCCCGCTTATTATGAAGTTAGAGAAAATAGAAATAGTAGTTCTAAAAATTTTACAGTATTAACAACACAATCACACATGAGTGGATTATGGTTTGTCGTATGGCCTCCGAAAGTTTATATTTCTTTTGTAACATTAGATGATGATGATAAAGAGAATAATAATGAAGAAAGGAAAACGAGATTTTTTAGAGATAAAACCGGTGATCTTGAAAAGCTTTTGAGATGTGAATTTGAAATAAGATGGGATTATAAATATTTTGGCGAAATTTATCGTAAATGTTCAAACAAAGATGTTTGGAAAAAAGTTGCTTATGTTAAGGGATCTAGTGAATGGGGCATGCAATGGCTTGATCCGGAGAGGGTTGATACATATGGTATCGTTACTAAACCTGCCTACGGAAGAGACGGGCAGATGAGGTAAAATTTTTTTTTATTAAAAAAAAAAAAAAAACTTTTTGAAATCATAATAATGTAAATTTTAACTTTTAATCTTTCCTTTAGGAATGTTATGTTTAGTCCTGATTCGCCATTTCCACCCATTATTCCTGCTTTGTACGTGGCATACTTTGATAGAATTATTGACGGAGGAGAACTAGAAGGACGAAAATTTTATTAATTATTGTAAATTTTGTTTATGGATTATTTTTAGATTTTTTTTTTTTGGATTTAGTTACATATATATCATTTATTTTCAAATATCCGGAGGAAATTAATATATTAGATGAGAAACTATTAAGTCAATAAAATCACAATCGTTCTCAAATAATAATCGAATCGTTTTTTAAGTTCATCATGTATTCAGGATCTACCGGTTTTCGGTAGTAACCGTTGAAAGGATGACTTAAAATAGTAAAGAATTAAAGGCTATCGCCTCTCATGTTTTAATCGTTACACTTGTATCAGCATTCATGCATCGGGATATGATTTAATGCATTTTATTTTGTGCTTGTGCTCAATTACATGAGAGTTACCACAGTTAAGATAGATAAACTTCAAAACAACATTGATAAAATCGATAAGTTATAACACATTGAACTCGGAATTTGCGCTTGTGTTTTCAGCATTTTAATAAGTCTTTATACATGGTTGTAATCAAATAAAAATGAATCTATTTATTGAATTATTTAGAAGTATTATGATTCAAATTTATTGATCAATGGTCCTAATCGTGAATATAATACGTTGATGCGAGTCTCACATGAAACGCATTAAAAAAACACACCTATCGTAAAACTGCGAGATCATCTTTTCACTTATAAATCCTTCGTTCAATGTTGAAATTTATGAGTAACTATTTCTTCACTGTAAGGTTTATAACTTTAAATCAGATCATTTTCATTATATAAGCACATGAACGAACTCATTAAGAAAAAATGATGAATGCACCTTCCTTTCATAAATAACCTTACTCACTTGTTTGCATAAAAAAATTTCTGATCGTGGATTGATCATAGCAATAACAATATGTATGTCGTGTTTTTACACAAATTAAAATGATCAAACCTAGTGTATATGTTATTACCAAAGTAAGTTAATTGCAGTATCAATTGGTCCCGATGCACATTTGATCGTACAAAAACGCAGTCAAATTAAAGATAGCGATTTTAATTAATATAAATATAGTGCTAATAATATTTTGGTTTTTTTTTTTTTCCTTTAAGCACTCTCTCTCCCCTTTTTTAATATCATTTTTTTTTTCGATTGGTTGAATTTTTTGTAGTTCTCAAAAGGGATTATTTTTTATTAAAAGAGAGAGAGATTGTTTCTTAATCGTGTTCTTTATACGTATATTCGAATGTATGTTTTAGCTGACAGACGTAACCTCGCAAATTTATTTTTGTGTAAATAATCTGTATATAAAATAACATTTTTTTTTTTGAAAAAAAAAAATAAAAAAAAGGGGCTACGTAAACGTAAAGGATAACTTTTTATAAAGTTTTATTTACATATCTATCGTTCGTCCAAATTAAAAAAAAAAAAAAAAAAAAAAATTGTAATAATGAATTCAAAGGAAACGTTCCCACAACCTTATTTCATAGCTCACCAATGTTTAAAAAGAACGATCATATATCTTTTCGTATTATTGGTTGTGGTGGGTTATATCTGTTATGATGATGATCAAGAAATTATCAAACCGGATAATGGGACCGCGGTAAGTTGTGAAAAACTTATCAAACAACTTTTATCAAAATATCAAAGATCTCATTATTCCTTTTTGTAGAATCATACTGAAATAACGATCGACCTTGATGACGATGGGAATATCATAACAGGAATTCACACCAATAACCAAACCAATGTAGATGATTACAACAACGATAATATTTTATTGATGAGTGATGAAGGAATTAATCAAAGATATTGTGGTAATGATAAGTGTAAATTTCTTTTCGTATATAATCACCCGGATGATGAGATCTTGGCTAATGAACACATGAGAAGTTTCACTCAACTTGCCAAAGCATTAAATCGCACAATGGTCTTAACCAATGTTGGGCATTCGAGAATTTCTTCCTGTAGAAATTTTCCTTTTAATTTTTATTATTCGATTGAATCACTTTTACATGTATTTCCACATACTTCGTTCATTTCACAAAAAAATTTCAAACAATGGACAAGGTTACGTCATGAGAAACCAACTACTCAACACATCTTCGTCGCAGGTGGTGGCTTAAATTCCACTATTAATATCGTAAATCCAAAATCTTTGGAATCAATTCAAAAAAAAGATTGTTTAGATCAATTCGAAATGAAATTCGATGAAGATACTATTTTCAAAAAAATTCGTACCGGTAAAGGATTTTGGAAATTAAATGAAACTCGTTCAAAATTTTCAAAATTCTTGGTAGATCATTTAAATGAAATTGAGGAAGAAATCATTTTATTAAATCACGATATTCATAAACCGTTTTTCCCTGGAAGTCTTCCAAAGATAGAATACTCGCAACTTATTTTACAAGAAGCTGATAGGATCGTTAATGATTTACAACCTTTCATTGCTATTTATTGGCGTTTGGAAAATTCAATTATTCCTTCATCTAAATTACCTGAATGTGCTCAAAGTTTGATGGAAACTTTGAAAAGGATTAAAACTAGTTTGAGAATTGAAAATGTTTATTTTACTACCGATTATCCAATTTCTTCTGGAAAACATAGTCAATCTTTAACCAAAGATTATCATAAAACAATCGAACTTTTAAATTCTACGATAAAGTTAAACACTTGGAAAACAATGAATCCTTTTAAAAATCTTTTAGAAAATAATATCGTTTTAAAAAATACAAAAGAATTTAATGGACATGGAATTCATAGAATTTTAGATAAATTAATTACGATTAATTCGGATTACTTCTTATCAAGTCCTCCAGGATGTGGTGCTAATTACAAAGATGATTTCACCATGACGATTACAAATGCACGAACAGGATTAACGAATGAAGGAAATGAAAGACTTTTAAACATTATTACGCGTTGGTAAAAACTAATAGAATAAATTGTAATTCATATCGTAAAAAAAAAAAAAAAAAACTTTTTTATTATTTTCGTAAATTACTTAATTTAAAATTTTTTAGATCGGTTATTATTATTATATATATTTTTTTTCTTTTCGTATACATTTCAAGTAAATGTTATAATAATACCATCAATTCTTTTACTTTTTTTTCGAAAAAAAAAAAAAAAAAAACAAATTATTACTTTTCTTTTCTTTAAACAAAATAATTCCTTTTTTTTGATAATAAAGGTTTAAATTTGAAATTTAACATTGGTATTAGTATCATGTGTGCTACACAAATGAACAGTTAAATTTCATTCGTGACATTTAAAAATATTTTTTCATTTCCAAAAATGAAATATGACATAAGGTAATAATTAAATATATCACGTGTTATGATAATAAGTATAGTTTGTCATATTAAATTGTTAGGAGTTGGTATTAATGATAGTATGTTAGGATTAATTTAGGTAGTTTAGGGCAGGTTGAGTACTCAATATTATAATACGTGATATATTCTACTTATCACCTCTATCATACTCTACTCCTTTTATAATATCTATTTTATTATAATATATTTTAAAATCTTATTGTCAGTTTTATATTACTAGTATTAACAGAACATTTTTATACATGTGACTTTCATTAGACTTATATAATGTCACCTTGAAAAAAGACAAACCAGATTTTATTTATTACATATTTATTATTAACGTTAGTATTAGAATTAGGATTTGGATTAGAAAATTTGTTACATGATATCATATCCTAACTATTCTTTAATTTATTAAGTATTTTAAAAACTTGTAAATTGTTTTGTAAAAAAACTGCTAATTGTCATAATTAACATTATCTAATAAGTATATGTAACCTGATAAATTAAATAGATATTATAAAAAGAAGTAAAATAGGATAAAGATAATAAGTAGAATATATCATATGATTAAAGATGATGTTGCAACTAGTTGCAACTATATAATACTTATTTATCATTAGTTAAAACTAGTTGCAACTCAATTTTTATTAATGTTATAATCCTATAATACTTATTTATTACTGTTGCAACTAGTTGCAATGTCATCTTTAAATCACGTATTATGATATTAAGTATAATTTTTATCATAATAAATTTTTAGGAGTTAACTTTAATATTAGTAAATTAGAATTAAATTAGATTAAGTAAAAGTTAAGTTAGAATTAAAGATGCTTGCTAAAATCTTCTTAAAATAATTTTATCATATCTTTTTCTATATTTTCAAAAGCTTTCGTCGTATCGAAAGAGTTTCATCATATCTCTTATTATGTATAATAATCCTATAATTAATAACTATATAATTTTAATAAAATATTTTAATAATTACTTTATTATTGTTATATTTTCTTTTTAACTTCCTTCTTTAGAGTCTCTTTTTAATATACTTATTTTAAACTTATATTGCATGTCATCATAATTAATGATTTTTTTTTAGTTTAATGATGTAATACTATGATAAGTTTATTTAAATTTAAAATGAATATATATAATTAAGATACAGTATTCAAAAAATAATAATTAAACTACCGCTATTCTGTTACTATATTTCAAATCTGTTTAAATCAATTACCATTGTTATTTCTCTTCAGTAAGCTCACTCGTTATGTGAAAAATAATTTCTACTATTAACACAGGGTAGAGAAAAAAATATATCAGCATAACATCATTAATCTCTAATCTATATAAAGGATTTTATCTAAAAATTAACCAAGCACAAAAAAGAAAAACACTGATATTTTCACATAAAATTCTTATTTGTAAAAAAGAGACCCTAAAAAAATATTTTATTTAAAAAAAATCAAAAAAACTAAAACTATAAAAACTAAAAAAAAAAGTGAGTAAATAATATTTAAAATAAAGAAAAAAAGTGAAAATAAAAAAGAGAAAAGAATAAAAAAAAAGGAAAAAGAAAAAGAAAGAAAAAGAGCTTTATAGTTAAAGATAATATTAAAGGTAAAATCACATAAAATTACATAATTATTTTTGTTGATAAAGTTATGTGAGATTATATGATTATTATTTAGGTAAATCAATATTGAATAAAATGATTGATGTTATTTGTTTATGTAATATTTTTAAATTAAGTAATCAATAAAAAAGGTTCTGTAGAAAAGGAATGTAAGAAAAAAAAAAATAAAGAATATTAAGAGAAATCATTCTTTATAGGCTTCTTATTTTAAGAAAAGTAAGATGATATTTTTTAAATCAGAGTTTACACTGAATAGCTTCCAATAAACAGAGTAGTATTGCTAAGGTATGTTCTATCTAAAATTTATCTTTCAAGCTTATTTACTAAAAGTTGCAAATACAATCTAGACTTATTCTTTCTTATGTTAAAGTACTACTAGTCTAATAACAAGTCTTTAATAAGCTATTAATATTAAAAATATAGCTTAAAGATGTAAACAGATAGCATGCTTTTGTGTTCTTTAAAATAGTAACTATTATGTTTATTGTGTTTATCTAACTATTCAAAACCTTTTATGTGTAAAAATAAAAACAAACAAAATTTTAATAAAAAATAATTAAAAAAATAATTTTTATTTTTATAAAAAATATGGTCAGTGAGAAAGGAGAAAGAATTTTTGATCAGTTCATAATTAATGAATTTTTTTTAGTTTAATAATATAGTACTGCAATAAATTTATTTAAATTTAAAAATAAATATGTACAATTAAGATATAGAATTTAAGAAAATAGTAATTCATATTATTACTATCTCTTTTACTATATTTTAAATCTGTTTGAATTAATTGCTATTGTCATCCTTCTGATAGACCCATTTACCATATGAAAAATAAGTTCTAATATTAACAAATATTAAAGAAAAAAACATGTTAATATAATATCATCAATTTCTAATTTACATAAAGAATTCTATCTAAAAACTAACTAAGTACAAAAAAGAAAAATACTGACACTCTTTATATAAAATTTTTATTTATAAAAGAGATCCTAAAAAAATATTTATTTAAAAAAAACTAAAGAAGCCAAAACTGTAAAACCTAAAAAAAAGAAAGTGAGTAAATAATATTAAAATGATAAGAAAAAGAAAAGAAATGAGAAAGGAAAAGGATAAAAGAAAAAAGTAAAAAGAAAAAAAAAAAAAAAAAGGAGTTTTGCAGTTAAAAATAATATCAGAAGTAAGATCATGTGGGATTGCATGATTGTTTTTATTGATAAAGTCATGTGAAATTGTGTAATTATTATTTAAAGTGAATTAACATTGAACAAAATAATTGGTATTATTTTTTTAAATTGGATCATCAACAAAAAAGATTCTGCAAAAAAGAAATATGAGAAAAAGAAAACAAGAAACTCTGAGAAAGATTACTCTTTATAGACTTCTAACTCTAAGAAAGATAAAGTGTATATTGTTGTTACATATTTTCAGCCTTAAATAGAAAAAAGGTTCTAATAAAACTGATGTAATAATGTCTTTCAAAATAGAGTTTATATTAAATAACTTCTAATAGGCAGAGTAGCGTTATCAAAATATGTTTTATTGAAAAGAATATCTTTTAAGCTTTTTTACTAAGATTGTTAAATATAGACCAGACTTACATGAAAATAAATTTTCTCTTTTGACTGAAATCTTTTTAACAAGATAAAGTAAAAATGTTATTGAAAAATATAAACAGATAACATATTCTTGTATTCTTTAAAGTAATGACTGATTTTACTTGCTATGTTTATTTAACTATTTAAAGCCTTTTGTATATAAAATATAGATGCTTGCCGAAACCTCCTCAAAATAATTTCGTCATACCCTTTTCTATATTTTTAATATAGTTTCAACAGTTTCAGTTTTCGTCATATCGAATGGGTTTCTTCGTATCCCTTATTATGATTTTAATATAGTTTTGTTTAAGTTTCGATTGTTATTAAGGGGTTTCATCCCTTATCTATAATATAAAAATAAATAAAATTTTATTAAAAAACAATAAAATAAAATTTTCATTTTTCTGAAAAATATGATTAAGTGAAAAAAAAAAGAATTTATAGTTCATGATTAATAAACCCATTTTTTTTCTATTAATGTATAAAGGTAGGAGGTGAACTAGTAGGAATGCTTATTTATTAAGTAAATTTACCCTATAAGTAGTTTCTAAAGGTCTCTGATCCTTAGTTAAGAAATACAGTAATCTAGCATTAAAAACATATTCTCAGATGTTACCACTTAGTATAGATCACTTGAAATAACTTTAACCTGCTATTACAAGCTTACTAGACTACTGAATACTATCACCTTTGAATAAAGAATTTACTTCAACTATAGAGCTTATTATATCTTATTTTTACCAATTTAACTTATAGAATTTTAATTATTAATAACTTTTAAGATCGTAAGATTAGATTTTTTATAGTGATAATTTTGTATTTATAGTATTAACGTATAATTCTTGTGAACTACAACTGTTAGACAGGGTGTTCGAGCGGTTTATTCTTTTTAATTGAGCAGTAATCTTTCAACAGTTTATAAGCTTTAACTCAGACGATTTATCAAAGTATTTATATTATCACAACGAGTTATGATTCAACAAATTGTCAGTAAATTGGATTTATAAATAATGTGTTTATTCACGAGTAAAATAATGATAAGGATAAAGAAAAGAAAAGTAAAAGAAAATAAAGAAGAAAAATAAGAAAGAAAA